TCACATGTGCCTTTGTTGTGTTTGTTCCAGATGGTCCAGATGTCCCGATCATATCCCCCTCAAATACTCATTTTCGTTCAAGGACAAACCTCAGCCTCTCCTGCCATTCAGCTGCTAACCCACCCGCACTGTACTCTTGGTTTGTCAATGGAGAGCTCCTGTCATCCTCCCAAGAGCTCTTTATCCCCAACATCACTACTAATAACAGTGGATCCTATACCTGCTTCGTCTATAACTCTGTCACTGGCCTCAATAAGACCACAGTCAAGAACATTGAAGTCCTTGGTAAGTGGATCTCTGAAATATCAGCGCCAGGTTTGGAGTGGAGTCTTTTGGCTTTCTGGGAAGACACAGGAGAATTTAATTTCCAGCCCATGTAATGGAAACAAGCAAAACTCCACTCTCTTCTGAGTGTCCTGCTCCATCCCTATGAAGATCTTCTCAGGATGCTCTGACTTCTCCTGGCTGATAGGGATGGAGCTTGGAATGTGAGGAGGAGCTTCTGCCAGCCTTGGAAACCTCAGGTTGTGGGAGGGACTTCCCAGGGGAGGGAGAGCCTTAAGGTCAAGATTTCTTTCTGTCACTAACACAGCCTTCCTGTCCCTTCCATTTTCTTTTTATGAACTCTATGACTTAGAGGAACACCCAGGACTTTGCTGTACTCACATTCTTTTTCCTCAAATGTGAGGAGAAAACTCCCTCCCTACAAATAGGGACCAGCAGTTCAGAGCTCTGCTTCTGTCTCAGGGGTGATTAGCTGAGCTCTGACTCCATGGGAGGGGAAGAGAGGGTGGAAAAGGCACCTGGGACCCTGGTTCTGCCTCAGGGTAAACCATGTCAGTGACGACTTGATGATGCTCTTTCCCTTATTCTTCTCAAGTTTTAAAAAACAAATGTTGAGCTGGGTGGTAGTGGGGCATGCCATTAATCCCAACGTGTAATGCCATCCTAAGTAAGCTATTTCCAAGACTGCTAGAACACAGAGAAACCCTGTCTAAAAAACAAAAACAAAAGTCAACTGAGTGTGGTGATACACACCCTTACTTCCAGTACTATTGATGGAGAGGCAGGTAAACAATGTGAGTTCAAGGCCAACCTGGTCTAAGTAGCAAATTGCAGGTCAGTGAAACCTACAAGTGAGACCCTCCCTCAACAAAAAAGAAAAAGAAAAAATTAAAAAGCAAGGTAAAATAAAATTTCACTGGTGTACATCAGAGCTCTTGAGGTCAGGAACAGGAAAGTGGAAAGGTGGCCTTCAGGGTAGTTGGCTCTGAACTGCGTCTGGCCACCAGCACAGGAGGTGACCGCTGAGAACAGTGAACTGCACTTGCTTGGAGAATAGAGACTCCTCTGTCGAGTCTCCATGCAGAGGAGTGCACAAAGAAAATGCCAGAGATATCTGTGGTGAGATCCAAGGATGGCAGACCCTAGTACAAGCATTTGAGAGGCTGAGGCAGTTGTATCTCTTTCAATTTAAGGCCAGCCTGGTCTACATACCAAGTTCCAGGCTAGATTTATTTATTTATTTATTTGTTTGTTTATTTATTTATTTATTTATTTTTGAGATAGGATTTTTCTGTGCCTTCAGGGAACTCACTCTATAGATCAGGATGGCCTTGAACTCAAAGATATCCACCCACCTCTGACTCCTGAGGGCTGGGCTTCAAAGTGTGTTGCACCACTAGCCAGTTAAAATAGAAATTCCCTGGTTTGGGATTTTGCTCAGTTTAGGTGTAGGCTTCAACACCTTTAGGATTAGCTAGACATTCTGAATCCCATGACACATATTTAATAAAAAAGAAACAGAAGGATATTTTTATAATGGAGGGACCTGACTGTTCACACTCACAGAAAGTCTGAGCAATAATTTGCACAAAAGTCATTGGGGAAAACATTCTCCCTCTATGATATTTGTGGACATGGGGTTGAAGTGAATCCTATTGTTGATCATGTACACATACCCTGAGTTGAATATTACTGTGGGCAGTCTGGGTAGGAGGAAGGTTCAGCTCTCTCTTTACAGGTTGTATCTTGAACCCAAACATGTGATCTTCCAGTGGGCCATGTCATTCTGTGGGCCCTGTGAGCTGGCTGAGATCTTCAGGGTAAAAGACTCTCAGCTGTCTTCTCCACTGTTTATCCACAGAGCCAGTGACTACACCCTCCATTCACGTCGGCAACACCACAGTCAAAGAACTGGACTCTGTGTCCCTGAACTGCTCCTCAAATGACACTGGGATCTTCATCCATTGGCTCTTCAATGGCCAGAGTCTGGAGCTCACAGATAGAATGAAGCTGTCCCTGGACAACAGCACCCTCAGCATAGACCCTGTCTGGAGGGAGGATTCCGGGAAGTATCAGTGTGAGGTCTCCAATCCAGTTAGTTCTGAGAGGAGTGACCCCATCCAGCTGGACATAATAGGTGAGTGACCTCCCCTCACTTCTTCCCCCACAGTGTTGGGGGTGTGGCAAATATTCATCAGCAGCTTGCAAAATGGGTTAAAGTCACCAGGAGAAAAACAGTCTCAATATACAAATACAGGCGAGCAGTAGCAGCTCGTACCTTTAATCCCAGCAATCCGGAAGTAGACACAGGTGGATATCTGCTAGTTCGAGGCCAACCTGGTCTACAGAAGATAGTTCCAGGACAGGCTCCAATGTTACAGATAAACTCTGCTTCAAAAAACCAAAGAAGAAATGTCTCAAATACAGTCATGTTAGTGATGGATACATGTTAATCTCTTTTTAAACAATACACAAACTGAGGATGTTGCCATATGTCTACAACCCCATAAGCACAACAAAGGTAGAGACAGGTGAATGCCAAATAGTTCCCAACCACCGTGGTCTTTGTAGTGAGGTCTAGGTTAGCCAGAGCTGCACAGTGAGACCATTTAAAATAAATAAATAAAACAAAAATCAGTGTGGAGGATTAGAGCGGCAGGCAGTGGTCAACACTATGGGCATTCGTGTCTTCTTTGTGGTATTTAGTACTCCATGATCAGGAATAAGTTTACCTTCAAACAGTAATTATTTTAGTTATTTATTTATTTTGTTTTTTTGAGAAAGGATTTCGTTATGTAACTTTGGAACTCACTCAGTATTCCAGAACTGCATTAAACTAACAGAGATATACCTACCTCCGCCTCCTGATTGCTTGGATAAAAAGCATTTGTTACCATTGCATGGATCAAATAAAAATTCCATTTTGGGATTTCTCCCAGCCATGAAGTGTAGGCTTAAACACCTTCAAGATTAGCTGGGCCATCTGAACCTCATGACACATTATTTAATGAAATAGAAACAGAATTCTATTTCATAATGGAGGAACCTGACTGTTCACACTCACAGAAAGTCTGAGCAAGAATTTGCACAAAAATCAATAGGGAAAACATTCTCCCTCCATGAGATTTTTGGACATGTGGACTGAAGGGTCTCTTAGTGTGGGTCCTGCATACATACCCTGAGTCAAGGGTCAATGTGGGGGTCTGGGTAGGCAGAAGATCCAGCTCTCTCTTTACAGATTGTATCTTGAATCCAAACATGTGATCCATGTCATTCTGTGGGCCCTGTGAGCTGGCTGAGATCTCTGAGGATGAAGGATTCTCAGCTGTCCCCTCCACTATTTATCCACAGAGCCAGTGACTAAACCCTCCATCCAGATCAGCAACACCACAGTCAAAGAACTGGACTCTGTGTCCCTGAACTGCTCCTCAAATGACAGCGGGATCTCCATCCATTGGCTCTTCAATGGACAGAGTCTGGAGTTCACAGATAGGATGAAGCTGTCTCTGAACAACAGCAACCTCAGCATAGACCCTGTCAAGAGGAAGGATTCCGGGAAGTATCAGTGTGAGGTCTCCAATCCAGTCAGTTCCAAGAGGAGTGACCCCATCCAGCTGAATATAATAGGTGAGTGACCTCCCCTCCCTTCTTTCCCTATAGTGTTGGGAGTGGGGCAAATTCTTTATCAGCAGTGTGTAAAAT